CCCCAGGACTCATCTTTGTGCTGTGATAGCCCTCAATCCACTCCATTCTGTTGCTGGTGGAAAGCAGGTCAAAGAAGCATCTGGTTGTGTCTATATAGCCAGAAACAGGTTGATAACATCATCACTTTGCCCTCAGAGGATCTCAGCAAATCTTGGCAGAAGATGTCATTGGTTTGCAACTCACTATGGGAACATAGCCAGGCACTTCTCTGCACCCCATTCCCATTCTCCAGCAACAGAAAAACTGTGGAAGGTGGACTATTGCAACACAATGGTGAGTCCTGGGGTAGTGAAGCAGGAGCTACAGTGGAGTCCTCCATGGAGAATCCTTATGCTACATGCAACCAGTAGGAACCAACCTTATACATGTTTCCTCAAGTGTAAGTCTCACTGTGTTTGTTAAGACTTAGCTCATGGTAAGTGTGTTTAGGGTTGCAGCTTGAACATGTGAAAAGATTTTTAAAATGTGCAGTAGTCAATAGGAAGCTGTTGAATACATATTAGAAAAAACAGCAACAGCCTACTTGGAACTCAGAAGTCTCTCAAGGATTTTAAGCTCCATGTTTTCCTATGGATATAATAATTTCATTACAAAAGGTGGCAGAAGCTAAATTGGTTCCAAGCAAAGAATCTGACACTTTCCTACCATCAGTATTTTTTGCCCTTCATCAGCTTGTTTCTTGAAATTGATCTCTTGGGACCCAAGGCACATTTTACAGATTACATTTTAGCCAAAGAACCAACATACTTTCATAAGAAATATGCCTACAGAATTTGTTGAGACAAGGAAAACCACTGTTTTCACAATATATTTTATATGTGTTCCTTGCCACTAAACAACATATGCTCACATTGTTTTCATACATTGAAATCCACAAAAACCACTATGCAGAAACCCAATTCGTACTTTTAATTTCAGACTGGTTTTTTAAAGCTGATGTTAGCAGTGCCCAAAACCAAAAAAAAAAAAAAAGATTCCATGAACTGGCAGGCATTCTTTCTCTCCCTACCTTTCCAAGCTCAGAATGAAGGAACTGGATTGCTTCTATATAACAGTCCACCTACTGCCAAGAAATATTCTCATTTCCATTTCGTTTGGAAAAGACTCTCACTTCGAACTCCACCCAAGCCAAATGCAAGCCAGTTTTTCAAACCAAGTTCCAGACTCATGAGTTGGCTTGATGATGGAAAGACAAAGATAACGTGAAGTTACAGCTATGTTCACATTTGCACATTGGTGCTAGCTGAATGGTGGAAATAATAGCTAAGCCGTATTCAGATCCAATTTTCCCAGGATGAAATAATTCTAAAATCTGATTTATTTCATTTGTACAAATGCCCATGGTACTGCGTGATATGAAGTGTATGAAGAGATCCTTACACTCACGTTTATGCTATGTTGCCAGGTCAGACCAAGGTTCTGTCAAATCCAACATCCTTCTTCCCATTGCAGCCAAACTGACACCCCAGGAAGTCCTGAAGCACAGCTTGGAAGCAATGGTTAGTTACTCAGAGGGGTTCCATACAGCCACCATGACAAGGGATAGCTTCTTGTTAGTGACAAACAAAGGTGTAAGTTGGATTTAACCTGCGTGCATCTTTTTATGGTTATTATGGAGAGAGAAGTTCACTACCTCCCTCACACCATGATCTCATGTCCCTTAAGACTCACTTTCCTCCTACAGGCCTTTGCCCTCCATGGCCATTTAGGAGAGGATGGTGAGTGTTGGAAAAGCATCTATCTATATCCCCCTAGGAGCAGAATGACAAAGGTTTCCTCTGGAATCGGATATAGGGATATATATTTTCAGTTATTCTGAATTGTTCCAGTTGCTCAGAAATGTTTTGAACTGCTTTTATTTGTACCCTGCTGTGAGATCTTATGATATTGGATGGGGTATCAGTTCGAAAGCATGCAAATGCAAGTAGATAAATAGGTACCATTTTGGTGGGAAGGTAACAGCATTAGGTGCAGTCATGCTGGCCACCATAGTAGTCCTCGGACAATGCTGGCTCTTTGGCTTAGTAACGGAGATGAGCGCCACCCCCTACAGTCAGTTACAACTAGACATTCATGTCAAGGGACTACTTTTATCTTTTATCATTATTTAAATGGATAAATAAATACTTACATAAAAAATAAACCTGTTCTCCATGAATTTATCTACCCTCCTTTGAAAACTACCTAAGCCACTGGCCATCACTGCAACTTGTAGGAAGTCCCACAATGTAGTTAACATATGATGTAAGATAGTACTTTATTTTTACTGTGTTGGGCTGA